ATTTCCATATATAAAACTCTTTTCGTATATAATTTTTTTTTTTTTTTTTTTTTTTTTTTTTCCAAAAAAAATAAAAAAAAAAATTAACCACCCTATTTATTTATAAAAAAAAAAAAATGGAGGGCCCCCCCCCTAAAAAAAAAAAATAGAGGGGGGGTTTTTTTTTTTTTTTTTTTATTTTTTCTTTCTTTAAAAAAATTTTTTTTAAAGTTTTGTTTTCGTTTGTTCCCTTCTTCTGTTTAATATTAAGATAATTTTTTGGGTGTCTGGGCTAATTATATTACGTATCCATTGATGTTCTGTTAATATTACATTTATCTAGTAAATTTTTTGATGTGTGGAGAAAGTATTGCAATTTTTTTCTCCCAACGTTAATTGAATGCTTCTTGAATTGACAATATTTCAATTTTGTAAAAGTGTCAATTTGGAAAGCATATTGCTATTATAGTTATAGTAGAAGTTTAATGTAAATAAAATGACATGTTATATATTATATGACGATCACCGATATATATGTACTAAGCACTAGATATGGCATTCCGAACACTCACTATGTTCAACTGAACTGTACTGAAATCCGTATATCTGTTATTGTGGCTTCAATATTCATGCAGTGCGGAGCGGCGCTAATAATAATTTTATATTAAATTGGCACATATGCAAAATAAACGAAAATAAAAAAAATGTACTCGATTAACAATACAACCTAAATAAACAGTTATTTATTATGAGTATTTTCGCGCGTTTATATCAACTGCGCATGCGCGACTATACAGTTTCCAGCGTATGTGTAGATACAGAGTAGTGCACATTTTTTGTTTGGAATAGCTTCTCTAGTACGTAGTACATATAACTCAATTATGACTATTTATTTTATTTTATTTAGTGAATATTAATTTATTTTCATTATAATAACAACTTTTATTGACCTATAAACTTTTATTGATGAAATTATAAATAAAGACAAAATATATTATACTGTAATCGAATGTAAAGTACCTATTATGTAATTAATATTATGTTACAATTTTACCTCTCTACTTGTCGTGATATGTATTTTTAAGTATAATTGTTTAAAAAAAATGCTCTTGAGCTTTGAGATAAAAAAAGTTGCATATTTTTTAAACGCAACACAAAAAAGGTCTTGCGTATGTCATGTTTTCAAAAAACTGTCTGCATTGAAAGATTAACACTTCATTAATTTTATTTCAAGCCTTGTCATTTATGAATCTATTGTGGACGAGGATAAATACCGCCTCCAGCACTGACAGCTGCCCAAAAAAGCGGTCTTTGTAGTCCTTGTTGAGAAGACAAGGACGCTCAAGCGACGATTGACATATTCGGTCGAAAGTTATTATTGTATAAAAGAACGTAGTGGGAAGCTTGCGAAAACACATACGTATTCATTTCGCAACATCAAATGTATTTATATTGCTCTTGAGCGGAATGAATCCTAATCCTAGTTGCTCAGAATTTTTCAAAGACCTACATCGTTGTCTTAAGTAACCAGTAATAAAAAGACAAAATCGTTACAGACTATCAGAAAATCTCACTGCTACACATACTTTTTAACCTCTACATAGAATACTATAATACATAATATATAATAGAACGGCGGAGTGGGCATAGCTCGTGTAGCCACTAACATGTCAATTCATACCTATAAATGTCAACACAATCAATCGTTTTCAATTTTCGTGTTAAGCGTCGCTGCATGCAAATTATTTTAAAAATGGCAAATTGTGCAATAATTACGTGTCGAAAGAACAGCGGAAATGGAATTTCAATAAAGGAGACATATAATATACAACATGTAACATAATTAACGTACTTTGAGAAAGTAGTTTGTTCAGAATCGTTTACTGAATCGATTCCTATCATTTTTAATATAGGTAATTTTTTATCCCAAAAATAATTAAAACTACGTAAATTACAGTCACACTAAATCTATACAGTCAAAACAAACTGAAATGGAAATAATGAAAATATATACGAGTACAACCAGTAAGTCGAAAGTATTTATATTTTGTGAATATTAGAAACAAAAATAAAGAAATATTTATGTAATGATTATGTGTGTAATATTTATATGTGTAAATACATTAATCAAAAGTCTAATTCGCTTAGTCTGTAAACACAGCGAATCGGGTTTGTAGTAGTGGTAACTGATAATACGACGTAATTGCTCGTATGTGTGCTCCCGGCGACGCCGATCCTCGTACAAAATAAAGTTGACAGCCATTCTATTGTATGTTATAGTATTCTATGGGCCTCCCCCACAGATTGCCTCATAAAAGAAGAGGCATTTGGCATTCGGCACGCTTGGCAGGCGGATTGGCAACCGCAGTATATTATTTTTAAACTATAATAGTTAAGATGCTCGTGTACACCTCGTAGTTTGCGTCCCTCTATTGCCATTTACGATACCCGCTAGGCGATATGGGGTAGTAGATCTTAGTACAACGCCACTATAAAGAAGTGTTTAATGAATTGCGCTAATTAGTGTATTTTCACAGACTTCATTATAGAACATAAAACAGCCACTAAAACATGTACAAAGTACATGTTCATACATGGAAACAAATACCTCTCAAGTTCACCCTTGTATTTTGCCCCATGTTAACACGCAATGAAAGGGATAGTTATCTCCATTCTGTGTTAACTAGATATTTACTGCGGATATAGTTTCGACTTTCAAGTATACTTCGTAATTTAAGCCGTAATCGCTCAATTAGTAGAGCAACCCGAGTTGCACCCGATTTGCGATTGCGACGCCAGTTATGAATTACTGATTTACAAAGAGCTCAGCGATGAACAGAACTGTTCACATTCGTTCTCGTCAAGTCATGAAGTTTTGTGGATACTAACACCTATTGACCCTTATCCCTTATGTTGTATAAACAAATAAATAAGCAAAAAAAGGTGGAATTACGTAGAGTTTACGTTAATAAAGCTCCACCTATAAGCAGTATGCAAGTATATCTTATTAATAAATGGAAAAAGACATCGTTTTAAAAAAATATTTTTAATACCTTTCATAGTAGCAAATAAGATCAGACAATGAGTTCAATATCCGGTTGCAATTTATGAATACCTTGGAACTGAATGGTGCACTCACACTCACAAAGTGAATTTGAGAAATCGCAGTACATGAAAATAACACAGAAGTTGCGTGCTTTTGCTGGTAGATATTTTAAGAAAATTGGATGGTAAAGAAAACTATAAAACTATTTTCATCGGCTTTGGTTAAAATTATATGAAAAAGATTTCTCTACAAAATTTCCTTCTATAAAAATAGTAATTATTAAAATATCAGTTAAATTAAATATCCTTACTGGAGTCTATAATTAATATTTGACAATCTCTTTGAAGTTTGATCATATTTAATTAAAATACATAGATCAAAACTTAATAGTTTATGCTCTGTAACATAGTGAGCAGAGATGAACAGGAACGACCAGTGGTGTGTGCAAACGGCATGTTATGGTGGTCCTGCGACACCATATACGGTGAATTTATTAATATTACATAGAATGGAATAGATACTTTTTTATTCAATATAGATTACAAGAATACTTATTCCAAATCATTTTTAAGCTTTACCATTAGTTTGGAAAAAACCTTCGGGACCACTTTATTTTATTATATGAGACAGACCAATGGCCTTACGTTCATCTTGACATTTGCCTAGATATTGCAACCAACTTTAAAAATGAAATTGAAAATTGCCTTGTCGCTAAAATAAAACACTAAGACGGCCTCATTATATAATTTAAGGGGATATAGTAAGTCAGCTCAAATTCTAATTTCGTCCCCACTTGCCCGCGCGTCGTATGCTATGTACCGACATGTTTGTAATCATTAATACTGTAAGTAGATAGGCCGTTAGATACTTATTTCATTAGGTTTATCATATTTATGCCTGTTTCTTAACGCCAAGCCAGTCGCTTCTTATTTTTATTACGGTTATTTCCCATTTTAATTTTACGTCGTCCTGTTGCGTAATGTGTATTCTGATCGTAAGCGACACAACCTCCCCCTTCAAAGGCCGAAGCGAAACTGACCGGGCGGCAGGAATCACGCTTCAAGGGGCCGATAGTTTAGGTAATTTCTTTTTTACAGTGAAAATAATGGTATTTTAAAAAAGTAAATAACATAAGCACTGCTTTATAGTTACTTCAGTTAGTATGCAAAGTTTCATGATCTCATTTAAAGTATTTTATGAATAACAGCGGTTTATTGTTTATTTTGGAGGTAACTTTGGATTTTTTTTCTATAGAGAAAATTTTACGGAATCGTGTTTTCGTCTAACATAATCCTTAACGTTAATCCTCAACTTTACCATATATTTATTTCAAAATTAATGCTGCAATATTTTCGGCATAACGGAGGATCTTGCTAAGCCATTTGAGTTTGTATTTCCCCTTAATTATACTGGCTTTCTTATGCTTCAAACCAGTACAAGGCTGTACGTGCACTGGTCGTGGTGGCAGAGTCTGCTTGCTTCCTGTTATGGTTGATGGAATTGAAATAAATAAAAATTTACATTAATTAAACACTCGTCGAGGGAGGTATAGTTCTATAAAAACAAAATCAAAAGTCACCATTTCAAAAAGTGTGTGCGTGTGCGAGTTTGCGTGTGCGCGTGCGTGTGTGTTCGCGTGTGCGTGTGTGTGCGCGTGTGCGTGTGTGTGTAATTTTATGTGTTTTAACCTATTTACCATTTTCCTCAAGAGATTTTTCAAAATTGCCTTTCAATATGGGTGACAAGCGAGCTACCACCTGATGGCAAGTGGATGCTATGGCTCTTAGACATCTCCATCTATCCTTCATTCAGATTAAAGAAAGTAAATCTACCAGCGCGATCAATGTTTACGTAGAATCTTATAATTTAAGCTGATACCAATACAGTATGAATTTGACTAATGTTTTATTAATGGCATTTATTGTTGGGTAGATGAAGCGACGAGCGTGCACCCTTGCGTTGCCGGCGAGGTGAGATGGATCACGCGGTGAAGGCGATGTCGGCGCGCGGCTGGTGGGCGCGGCTGGTGGCGCGGCGCCGCTTCGAGTCCGCCGAGCTCGAGGAGCTGTACGCGCGCTACGCCTGCAAGCTGCAGCGCGCCTCCGTCAGCTCCGCGCTGGCGCTCTGGGCGCTGCTGGCCGCCGCCCTCGCCGCTGCCGACGCCACGCGAGGATGGAACACTGCGCCGCAGGTTGCCCCTAAAGTGACTAAAGTTGTTCAAAACAACTATAATTCAATAGAATGCTACAGACTATAAACTATTAATTTCTGCCGCGCTATTAAATACGCTATGTTATAGTGCGCTATTTATAGAAAAAAACGTGTGGGTGGCCGCCAAGCGCGCCAACGTAAAGTTATGCAGCACGCTAAATCTCGTAGCACGTTACATTACATATCGTTCGTTGAATAGACCGCGTACTACATCACATTATTTCGTAATAAGTCGCATTTTAGACTAAAATAAAATAAAGCAGTAACGAATAAACACTGTTTCATACTTTTCAGACTTAGACCTGTCTATAATCGATGTAAATGTTATTTTAACCTTCATGTAAATTATAAATCAATTGTGGGCGTATTTAAAAGTATATTGATGTTTATACAAAATTAACTATTTACATAAACTATTATATGTAAATAGTTAATTTTGTATAAATGGAAAAAAATGGAGGATCATGCACCTTCCCTGTTGGACCTTCTGCTGACCTCTCACCCGGACGGATATCAGATTTCCGTTGACGCCCCTTAAGGCTCCTCGGACCATTGTCTTGTCCGGAGTGTGGTGCCACTCACGCTGAAATCGCGGTTGCATTCTGCAGGCTGCCGCCGTGTTTGGCACTATAGGTCAGCCGATTGGGATGGGATGCGGTCTTTCTTTGCATCCTACCCTTGGGGGCGGGTTTGCTTCTCGCCGGATGATCCCAACGTTGTTGCGGATTCTGTCGCTGATGTGGTACTTCAGGGTATGGAACTTTTTATTCCTTCCTCTGTGGTGCCCATTGGAGGCAAATCTCAGCCATGGTTTGGTCGCTCCTGTAAAATAGCATCATGCTATAAGCAGGAGTGCTACCGAGCATGGGCTGACGCATCAGCGTCCAGGGATGTAAACACCAGCGCTCTAAAAAAGAAGTATAATTCCGCCTCTAGGTCAGAGGCGGAATTATATTCAAGGCAAAGTCAGAGCACATAGGCAGAATTGGCGAGAGACTAGTTCGTCTTCCTTCTGGAACCCGTGCATTCTGGTCTCTCGCCAAGGCTGTCCAGGGGAATTTCTGTCAGCCATCTCTGCCATCTCTGCACAGGGAGGACGACTCACTGGCCCACACCGCAAAGGAGAAAGCCGATCTTCTAGGCTCTTTCTTTGCGTCTAACTCGACTCTCGATGACGGGGGGAGTACGCCGCCGACCATCCCGCGGTGTGAGTGCTTCATGCCGGAAGTGCAGTTCACTCAGCGCTCGGTTCGCAAAGCACTCCTCTCCCTGGACATCCATAAGTCGAGTGGGCCTGATGGAATCCCCCCCAATTGTGCTGAGGACGTGTGCTCCAGAGTTGGCACCGGTTTTAACGCGTCTTTTCCGGTACTCCTACTCCCTAGGCGTAGTCCCAAAATCATGGAAGACGGCTTTCGTCCACCCGATCCCTAAAAAAAGGCGACCGCTCAGACCCGTCCAACTACCGGCCTATCGCCATCACCTCCTTGTTCTCCAAAACAATGGAGTCCATTGTAAACTGCCAGCTCATGAGGTACCTTGAGGATCACCAGCTGATTAGTGACCGCCAATACGGTTTTCGCCGTGGTAGGTCAGCTGGTGATCTTCTGGTCTACCTAACTCACAGATGGGCGGAGGCAGTAGAGTCCAAGGGGGAGGCATTGGCCGTTAGTTTGGACATTGCGAAGGCCTTCGATGGGGTTTGGCACAAAGCGCTTCTTTCGAAGCTCCCTTCCTATGGGCTTCCCGAGAAATTGTGCGATTGGATCACCAGTTTTCTTGCAGATCGGAGCATCAAGGTCGTTGTAGACGGTGCAAGCTCCGATTGCAAGCTTATTAATGCTGGTGTTCCACAGGGCTGCGTGCTATCGCCAACGCTGTTTCTTCTGCATATCAATGATATGTTGCAAACCCGTAGCATTCATTGCTATGCAGATGACAGCACTGGTGATGCTCTTTACACCGGCCGAGCCAATATTTCTCGGGAAAACGTCTCTGAGTGCCGGGACAAACTTGTGTCTGAAGTCGAGTCTCTGCTGGACAGAGTCTCGGATTGGGGGCGACTAAATCTAGTCCAGTTTAACCCCCAGAAGACACAAGTTTGCGCGTTAACCGCTAAAAAGAACCCCTTTGTCGTATCCCCTCAGTTTCAAGGCACTCCCCTTGTTGCCTCAGCCAGTATCGGAATCCTCGGCGTCGACATATCGAGTGACGTGCAGTTTCGTGGTCACTTGGAAGGGAAGGCCAAATTGGCCTCTAAAAAGCTAGGCGTGCTCAGCAGAGCGGGACAGTATTTCATGCCGGCACACCGCCTGCAACTTTACAAGGCGCAGGTTCGGCCGCTCATGGAATACTGTTCCCATCTCTGGGCTGGGGCTCCCCAGTACCAGCTCCTTCCACTTGACCGCATCCAGCGCAGAGCGGTTCGAATCGTTGACGACTGAGTGCTTTCCGATCGGCTCGATTCACTGGCGCTGCGAAGAGATGTTGCATCTCTTTGCGTATTTTATCGCATCTATCACGGGGAGTGCTCTGAGGAATTGTTCGGATTAATCCCAGCCGCCAAATTTCGTGAACGCACTACACGGCAAACGTCCCGATACCATCCACACCATCTGGATGCTTGGCGGTCCACCACTGTACGTTTCAAAAGGAGTTTTCTTCCGCGTACAACCTCTCTGTGGAATAATTTACCACCGGTGATTTTTCCGGACCGATACGACCTGGGGACTTTCAAGAAAAGAGCTTACTCCTTTCTAAAGGGCCGGCAACGCACCTGCAATTCCCCTGGTGTTGCGGTTGATCATGGGCGGCGGTAGTCACTTAACATCAGGTGAGCCACGTGCTCGTTTGCCCCCTCTTCTATAAAAAAAAAAAATTCTTTTGTATCTACATTTTATTTACAGTCAAAAACATTAGTTAGGCTCACAAAATAATAAGAATTGCTATGTTAGGCTACTTTTGTAGCAGATATCGTGTCCTTCGATCAATAATTATAAGTATACGGTTCACATTAACTAAACAAAGTCTAACACTAAATTAGGTCGCGCTCGATGAATCTATATCTATGCTTCTAGATCACACGTCCACTCCACAGCGCTGCTGGTAAAATTAGTTACCGCTATATATTATTAATAGCGCTAAAGTGTCATAGCGCCATAGCACCATAACGCCATGGGGCCCACTTACATAGCACGCGCTATGCGCTATGGAGAGATAGCGCGCTATAATATGGCGCTATGCGCTGAGCTGCGAATTGGTCGGTTCAACCGAGGAGACAGCGAAAATAGGTAAGAGGAATCCCAACAGACACCTAGACAGAAACTCCTCAAGGCAGCTTGTAAAGTAGGTTACAGTCACTTGGAAAATCAACCCAAAAAGCTGAACTCATATTTTACAGACCACGGATGGGGGTCGGAATTATCAGTGTGAGATTATCGGCACAGAGCCGAAAGCCGATGCTTTAATAATCTAATGGTTGATTATTTATTTATTTATGAAAAATGGGTATAGGTTATAAACTTAGACCATTTAAATGGTCTAAGGTTATAAATGGGCATAGTTCATGGTCTGCAGTGACCGTTTGCCAACAGATGAAGTAAGCTCGCTAGTCACTCAAGAAAAATATATTAGATTTAAAAATATAGCTACAGGACTAACATTGAATGGAATATAATTAGAAAGTAGGTGTAAGTCTTTTAACAACGGTATGATAAAAATATTTTAAAATGAGAAATTTATTGTTAAGGAAAGACAGGTTTTAGATTGATGCTTTTACTCGTTTACATGTTACTCTGTTACACCTTTTAATTGTACAAAGGAGATAAACTTGGTTCCAAACAAACTTGGGCCTTGAACAAAGTTCTAAAATATATTTTGAAAATTTAAATTAAACATAAGATGCTTCTTATGTCAAAAAAAAATTGCGAAAAAAGGTTTTGTTTTTATTTTATGTTTTTCGACTCAATTCTCACTCGAGCAATTCTTGTGTGTGTATATTACCTATATATATATAATCGGAATCTCGGATACGGCTCCAACGATTTTCATAAAATGTTGTGTCGACGGTGTTTCGGGGGCAATAAATCGATCTAGCTAGGATTCATTTTTAGAAAATGTCGTTTTTTCCGTGGTTTCGGGCAATGAAAAACTGCTACAATATAAGACGCCGTATTAATGATCGTAACGTAATAGCTCAAGTGGATTTCGGGCCGTCGCGATTTCGTAGTGTCCTGGATCGCGTCCTGTCGTCGGTCCGACTTTTTCCAAGTTCCCTTCTTTTGTGAGAAAATCTATTACTTCGAGCCCTTTTTTTTAGTATTTTTTAAAAATACGAAAATTTTAATTAAACTAATTGCACTCATGATTTTTATTCAAATAAACAGTACAGTTTTTATATTATGTCAATAATCAAAAATATTATTAATGTTTCATCAGTATGTAATTTGTATCTAAATATAATTTCCAAAACACACGATTTCCAAAAATAAAACCTAGTAAAGCTCGGTCATCCAGGTACTTATTATAAAATAAAGTAAAATAAAAGTCAACCTTTTTAAAAAGTTTAATTTTTTCTACAGTTATTGATAAAATGACATTTAGAAAAGCAGCCGGAGGCTGTATGTACTTTATCTGTTCTATTCCTCTCATAACTCAAGTCAATTACTTATTTATTCTTTATTGCATTCCTTAATATAAAAGAATACGAAGGGCGGATTTAATACCTAGAGGCATGTCATTATGTAGGCGCAACAACCTAGTGTCCTGTAATCCAAGAGAAAAGCCAAGGGTCAAGTTAAATAAATCCACGAAATTATCTACAAAGCCAAATTGCCCGTGTGGAGTTGAAACTTCAAAATAATTTATTTAGGCTTATAATTTATCGAGTTAATACCTACATATTTTTATATAACTGTTACGTAAGTACAAAGTCAAGCACCCTATTTCATACATCTCTTTTTCTTTTGTTTTTATCTTAGAGTTGTTATAGAGAAACGATGAAAATCTTCATTTTTGTTGATGAAATATGTTGTGGTTCACAGTACAGTAAAATAAGTTTTATGTAGTTACATTTATTCTTTGAAGTTCGTAACCTATTTTTCCGGATTAAATTGGAACGTGATTTCTATTACGATCATACAAGTATAAGTAAGTCTCCCAAAAAAAAAAAAAGCGCCAGCTTTCATATATTACTTGCAATGGGATTGGTTGCTCAAAATACAAAAACATGCAAAAGTTTTGTTTCATTGATGTAGAATTTAATAAAACATTTCTTTCACGTCTGCAACTTTTCCAAGTCATTGCAATTTTAAATATTTTTATATGTTTTACATTATCAAGTGCCTACGAGTACTTGGGATTCACAAATAATGTAAAAGTTTTAAATATTTTCCGTATCCATTACCATTACAGCCTATGAAAATCCACTGCTGGACATACATCGTAAGGGAAACATTTGCCATAGTTGCCACGCTTGGCAGGCGGATTGGCCACCGCAGTTTAGTTGTTACTAGGAAGGAGCTCTTGCTCTTATTCTAGTTTGTTTTCCTCTGTTGGCTTTTACATTCAAGTAAAGATATAGGGTAGATATGGGTACTTACATTACCACTATATAGTTAAATTTTCTTATAACTACCGTTTTCCTTTAAATTGGTAAAAATACAAATTTGTTTATAATATAAATAAATAAATAAATAAATTACAGAAAAAGATTTGACACATGGCGTTTCTTAGTATGAGCTGTTCGTTATAAGTAAGTGATACTATTGATTGCTTTCAACGAAATCTGTCACAAGAATCCTTTTACCTTACTTTCCAACTCCTATAAATTAGATTTAATTCATACTGCTTCATCTCAACACGCTACTCTGTATATTTCAAAGTTGCTGTAGCGAGTCTACGCAGTCTTCATTTAATTATAAGTTACACGCCTCGCATACTGGCATTTTACTTGTATGTAGGAAATAAGTGTTTTATTGGAAGGCGGCGGTAACGAAAATTTGATCTAGAAGGGAGAAAAAATATGCGCAGAATTTATTTCCTTTGACTCGTGGACCCACCGTTAAATAACATTTCAATTACGTACAGAAAAAATAAGTGAAAGGCTTGCACGTTAAAAGCGGCAAGAACTTCAGAAGTAAAGTAAAAACTTTTCATAGACAAGACACGTCTTATTACGTAAGTTTCACAATTGTAGTTCGATAAAATGCTGGCTACATTCCAGAAGATTTATTTTCTTGAACTGTAATGAGGTGGTTATAGTAAAAATTGTAAATCTTACACCAGCGTAATATATACAATATATCCTATGCTACATACAATATATACCATGCTGGTGTAAGATTTATTTATATCTTAGAAACAAGCTCAAAAGCGAGGCATTATCAAGCGGTTAGAGAGAATATGAATCAGCGGTTAACTTTAGAGGTATATATATACCTAGTGCCCTCCTTGTGGGTAATATGGAAGTGGACAAAATAATGCGAAAAATCGTTTGTAATTTGACAGATGCCGCAATTTAATCTTAAAATCGAGGCCTCCCACGCCATCTGTACCGTAAACTGAGAGCGGTAGTATTCCTTACTGCGATCTAAAGCATTTTACCAAGAATGGCGCTTATGGCAAATCCAGCTTGCCTATACACAAATTAACATTAAAAGTCCATTAGCTATTATCTATTTCCATGAAAATAACATTAAAATTGTAACAAACAGGTGGGAATACTGAGTGCGCACGCAGTCTTGTGCGGCGTTTTGGCGTGGTGGTGTGGACGTTCTGGTGGCGTCGCACCAGAGCGTCGTTTACCCCGCGCGTGTTGGCTGGCTTTAGCGGGCGGAGGTGCCGCTCTTGCTGCTACGCTGCCTTGCTGGGGACCTGGCGCCCCGGCCGAAGGGGCTACACATGTGGTCTGGGCAGTATTCGCTGCTTATGCGTTACTGCCAGTGGGTGCGCCTGTAGCCGCCGCCTTCGGCATCCTCCTACCCACGGCACACACTATCGCCGCCGCGTTGGTTGCGTACCGCTTCCCATACCATGTATGGCAACAGGTCAGTTCATTTCAGTTATTGCTTTTGAAATTATATAAAAATTAAATCTTTTGTAAGGTTTTTTTAATTTCTTTATTCTATAACGGTTCGCATAGGACATTTCTGAAGCATTTTATGACCATAAATTGCACATGTTCAAACATCGAGACGAGATCCAAAATAATTTAGTAGGCCATACCAACACGTGTTCCTTGCGGAATTTGAGCCCGCAGCCCTGCCGTACCACGCCAATCATTAGCCGCACCGCTACCGAGCCGTCAAAAGTCAACTTCAATTGTTCTAATTGCGTTAAGTTTAGTTAACTATACGGATTTTAAACATTATATAACTATTTTAGAAATATCTACTAGTATATAACATATTACACTTTGGTATCAATAAATATATGTCCTTGAAGTCCTTCAGAAGCTTTTCAATTCCGTCCTCCATGGTGGCATTACTCCGGAGGCGTGGAGCAGAAGTGCGGTAGTCTTGTTCTTTAACAAAGGCGACAACGCTCTCTTGAAGAACTACAGATCGATTTCCCTTCTGAGCCGCGTCTACGTGCTGTTTTCGAGAGTCATTACGAATCGTCTCGCACGCAGACTGGACGACTTCCAGCCTCCCGAACAAGTCGGTTTCCGAAAAGGTTTCAGTACCATAGACCACTTACATACCCTGCGGCAGATTGTGCAGAAGACCGAAGAATACAATCTGCCACTTTGCCTGGCATATGTGGACTATGAGAAAGCCTTTGATTCCGTCGAAATTTGGGCAGTGCTACAGTCCCTTCAGCGGTGCCAAGTTGACTGTCGGTATATCGAAGTTCTGAAGTGTTTGTACAGTAGGGCTACGATGGCTATCCGAGTACAGAACCAGAGTTCGAAACCTATCCGACTGCAGAGAGGTGTAAGACAGGGTGACGTTATATCCCCGAAACTCTTCACCGCTGCATTGGAAGACGTTTTCAAGCTACTGGACTGGAAAGGATACGGTATTAACATCAATGGCGAGTACATCACTCACCTACGATTTGCCGACGATATAGTCCTTATGGCAGATTCGCTGGAGGACCTAAGCACTATGCTCAATGACCTCAATGGTGTCTCCCAACGGATAGGTCTTAAGATGAACATGGACAAAACAAAGATCATGTTTAATGTCCATGTCACACCTATGCCGGTAGTTGTTGGGAGCACTATGCTCGAAGTTGTTGACGAATACGTTTACCTGGGACAATTAGTCGGACTAGGTAAGTCCAACTTCGACCGAGAGGACAATCAACGGATTCAACTCGGCTGGGCAGTTTTCGGGAAATGACGACACATCTTCTCGTCAGGTATACCTCAAACACTGAAAACTAAATTTTACAACCAGTGCGTGTTGCCAGTGATCTGAGACTAAGATGGTGATATCGTATTAAAAGATTACGCATTTGGGTGAGTAACTTTAATAATACGGAATATCAATAAAGGTAATATATTTATTGATCATCATCATTACAGACCTTTACAAGTCCACTGCTGAACATAGGGCTCCCCCAAGTAATGCACAAAGCACGGTACTGAGCCACCTGCATCCATCGACTTCCTTAATGTCTTACCAGGTCGTCACTCCACCTAGTAAGGGGTCATCCTACACTACCCCTACCGGTACGAGGCTGCCATTCGAGAACCTTCTTTCCCCAAAGGTTGTCGGTTCTTCGAGCTATATGGCCGGCCCATTGCCATTTCAGCTTATTAATCCGTTGGGCTATGTCAGTCACTCTGGTTCTACTGCGGTTATCCTCATTTCTAAGTTTATCACGCAGAGAATAGCCCTCCATAGTTCGCTGAGCGACCTTGAGCGTCTTCATACGGCCAGCAGTGAAGGACACGTCACAGATCCGTAAGTCATCACTGGCAACACGCACTGGTTGTACAATCTAGTTTTCAGGTTTTGAGATACACCTGACGAGAAGATGTGTCGTAATTTTCCGAACGCCGCCCAGCTGAGTTGACTCCGGCGAAGCATTATTCTACTTTTTCACGCTGGTATTCTGTGATTTACACTGGTATTCTGAGTGGTTGGTAGAAGTTCTTCTCTACCAAGTTCTTCTGGTAGGTGATAGAAGGGTATAGAGATGCATTATATATATAACGGCTTGGAACTACCACGTTAAACTCAAAAGCCTATTATTAACTCGTGCCTTAAGACATCCACATTGTAGACAGACAGACGCTGGCAATTTATTCCACTCCTTTGTTGTACGCGTTATGAATGACTAAGCAAACCGTTTGATTCGAATCCGAGAAATGTTGACAACAAAGGGGTACAGGAAAAAAGGGGAATTAAGTAATATAATTCCTGTTCACTCTCCGAAATTGGCTTTAAACCAATGGAATCTCCAATAAACCTCTCAGCAAGCAATTCCACTGAGTCATATTATACTATTCGGTATTTTGCAGCACTCGCCCTTATACCACTCTGTTTGAAATTTTAATTCCGTAATTATTCGGTTTTGGTTTGACAAAATTACTTATCCTAATTATATGCATATATTTTAACTATTTATTTACTCTGGTTTTTGGATTCGATTTGTTATTATAACAATTTTTTTTGTTATTTGTCCTTTATAAATAATAACCTCAAATGCCCATATTCTTATCGCAGATGGTCCGTATAATATTATTAACGGTAATACGTAACATAATAGGCGGAGTTCTCGCTCAAATATTGCCTTAATATTTTTTTGTGGATGATGCCATTTGATAGAGCGGTTTTGTCCGGAGGTCGCAGCCTTGGCGGCCCTCACACCACTACAGGCGAGGGAAGCTCGCGTGTAAAGTTAACGTCATTCCAATAGGCTAAGCAAACGTTATTTGTCCGTGAACGTACATACAAATAAATACATAAGACGGATTTAATACCGTATTAGAACTATCTGAATGCGATTGTGCACAAAACATTTATTAAGTTAGCGTTGAACTATTTATTAGGTATTGAATCCTAAATCGTTTCTATTATTGATTCTGTGATTGAGACTTATTAATTTTCATATACATATAGATATTATTTCTATTTTTACTGCGTTACTCAGTCAACGTTTTTCCTCGCATAATTTACTTGTGGAATCGATTACCAACAGCGATTCTTCCGGACCGATACGACTTAGGGACTTTCAAGAAAAGAAACGCACCTGTAATTCCCCTGGTGTTGCAGTTGTTTCATGTGTGGCGGTAGTCACTTATTATCAGGTGAGCCCAATGCTCGTTTGCCCCCCTGTCATTAAAAAAAAAACATTTCGGTTTGCCGAGTCGCTACATTTTATTTATTATTGGGTCATGACCGCCTTTAATTGACCCCAATTTTCTTGCAGATGTATTAGATTTTGAATAGATTTATAAGATCAAGATTGGTGTATTTTTATAAAACTGCTAAAAACAACAATCTATATTTTTATCAATTTATATCTTGGGCTTGCTCTAGCTTGGAACTCTAGCTTCGCCACTGTTACTAAGGTATGTGTATATGAAGGAATCTTTCTGTCTTTACGGTAATACTATAAAACAACTTCTGGGTATAATCCAGAAGGACGGAAAATGTTATAAAACGTCCTATTATTCACCTTATGGAATTCTTAGTTTTGTTATTTATTTAAATTTAGAATTTAAAAATAGCTTCAGCATTAAAAAAAATTTAATATAGGTAATAATAACTCATTTAGGCACCAGATGGTGGTGCGAACCATCTCAGTGCGTATTAAAAGTGCATTATTTATTATTATACAAATTACACTGATGAGTGGTTACCTCGCTAAATATTATGTGTATTTTAGTACAACATCAAGGAATTTATTAACATCGTTACTACAGACTTGCGCCTGTCTATTTAACATTATATCGCGTGCGTGCGGTGTGTGTGTGTGTGTGTGTGTGTGTGTGTGTGTGTGCGTGCGCGTGCGCGTGCGCGTGCGCGTGCGTGCGTGCGCGTGCGTGGGCGCGCGTGCGTGGGCGCGCGTGCGTGTCGCGCGTGCGTGGTGCGCGTGCGTGGGCGTGCGTGCGTGGGCGCGCGTGCGGGGGCGCGCGTGCGTGGGCGTGCGAGTGGCGTGCGTGCGTGGGCGTGCGTGCGTGGGCGTGCGTGCGTGGGCGTGCGTGCGTGCGTGTGTGTGTGCGTGCGTGTGCGTGTGTGTGTGTGTGTGTGTGTGTGTGTGTGTGTGTGTGTGTGTGTGTGTGTGTGTGTGTGTGTGTGTGTGCGTGCGTGTGTGTGTGCGTGCGTGTGTGTGTGTGTGAGCCAGCATACGAGCGCGCGCGTTTTTGTGTGAGCGTGTGTGAAGTTTGCATTTGTGTAAAAACCCATTATAAAAAATTAAGTAAAAATCGACGTAACTGCTACATTTTTATTATATAAATAATTTTGGAAAACTTGTTCAATAAATAGTCATATTTTATGACCCCTTTTTATAGTTTATACAAAAATCCATATATGGATATAATATTTTAAGTTAAATGTGAGAAAAGTTTAATTTTTTTACTTCGTTTACAAGCAATCTATGGAACTCAAAAAATGGGATGTATTCTTAGCTTGTATTCAATGCCAAAGAAGAATCCTATTTAATTCAACAGAATGACGTCGTTTATCATAAGACTGCTTTAGCCAAGTAAATTTAGTTCAGGGTAACTGCTGGCCTTAAGAAACATTAATATTATTTGTATTTGTGCTTGTTAAAGTACAATGAAGTGAGTTGTTATAAGTTTGACAAATGGAGAAACTTCTATATTACCTTTTTATAGCGTCAGTAAGTTTTGAATAAATTACCTTCACAAAATATACAATAATGTATAAAATGAAATCATAACATTAAAAAGATGTATATGTATATAAGTTTCGATAAATGATGCTTAAATGTATACGTAGATTTCCGTACGATATACATATAATTAAGTTATAAACACAATTTCGTGATGCATCATCTCGCCCTAAACCAAACACTTATTTCGTCCAATTTGTAAATACTTCTTATCGTGAACTTGTTTGCATTC